ATAGAGTTTAACTTACAATGATTCAATCTACATAATCAGGTGATTTGTTCAGTTCTTCCAGGGACTACCCTTAGGCTGTCCAGGAGCTGTCTTAGTTCGTCCATGGCATGCCATTTAATTTTTAATAAGTAAAGGCGCATAGGTCGTGTGTACACACAACAAGGACAGACTGCTGAGCCCTTCTCCCGCGTGTACCACAATAAAACGCAATTACCGGAGAAGTGGAGAATTTCTCCTGTGCGACCCCCACTCGGTCGGTGCGTCGAACAAACATGTATACCGACACATGTAGACTGGCTCTCAGAACAGTTGGGCGGAAAGAACAACGAAACGGCTTCGACTTCAGCAAACCTTGATGGAGTCAGCCTGCCACCTTCTTGAGTACCGTGAGCTAGCGCGTGTTGTTGACTCCTCTCTCGTTTGCTTTTCCGTACTCCATGGTGTTGGCGAACACACCCCCGGCAAGGCAACACCACAGCTGGTTGTTCAGATCACGATCGAACCTATGCTCTTCTTAGCCTCAAGGAAAAGCTGGCATCATGATGGAGCTACGCTACAGGAGATATTGAGGTGCTCATTAACACCTACCTACGTTTTTTATCATCCATCCACGTTTGACATTTTCTTACCAGGCGTGCGTAGTGTCCCCGAAAAGCGCGGACGGTTTTGTGCTCAACTGTTTTGCCTAGCTTCCACGCTGTTCAATAACCCCAAGATCAAACGTGAACCACAGCCGGCTTGAAGTACGTCCATTACGCGTTTCCAAGAAAATAATCTTGGCAAGAGAATGGCTCCGAGCGTCAAGCTGCAGGCTCGAGTGTGGACGTTTCAGAACCTCCTCCGGCCGGCCGGCCGGCGGACTGCAGCGGTATCATCAGCGCTCGAAATTGTCGCTGCGCGAAAAAAGCAGGAGCTCCACCAGCGAAACCTTAACCATACAAATAAAACACATCTCTGTCGGAATGTCAACAACAGCGGTGGATCTTCCCAGCGCGCAAACCTCACCCAAGTAGCCTTAGCCAAGACCTTACTCAGACCCTAACCCTCAACTCGCCTTTCCACACGTTCGCCGTTTGCGCCTACCAGGACATCGGAGAGAGCAAGTGTGGTTCGGGAAATAACAAACAACACCAACACTGCTGTGTACCTACAACGCTCACGAGTACACTCCCTCTGGGTACATGATGCAGCCCAAGAACTGTTTCGGTGCTTGTCTGAGAGGGGTCACTTTATCCAGGACGAGTCTTTCGTAGGCTCCATCTTCGGCTTCTTTCGAGCGAAGCGAGAGTTTCACACAAACGACTAGCCACAGTCACACGTCCTCATCGGCAGCGAACAGCTCGAACGAGTTAAGCCCGACAGGACTGCACTACCAGAGCACGATGTCCCGAGGTGTGTGAGTAATACCCCCCTCCAAATCCCGCTATATCCCAGGACTGACACACGTCCGCCGTAGGTGACATGTAACTTCTACGTCCACTCCAAGGCGCTAGACCGCGCGCCCCCCTGTAGGCCAAATCACACCACAGCACGCTTGAACGTCCCCGAAGCCGGGTGATGCCCCCCCTCCTCTCCTGGCTTCAAATAACATTTATACAACAATAAACGCGTCTGTCTAGCGAGCCTACTCCTTCTCACGGCGCTCGACATCCCAGTGTCACACATACATGACAAAGTATGTTCCGAAATTCGATGTGCCAACCTTGCCCGCCATTCGCTCTCTGGCAACAACACCAACTAACAATCTGGGGGGCAGCCCCATGCTCCCTCGCTGCTCCGTCCCCATCCATTCACTCGTACAGTGAGGATGCGGCCGTGATATGAGGGTTTCTTTAGCTGTTGATGTACTCGGCTAGAGGTCGGCATGAGACCAGGGAAAGGCCACACCATTCTAGTTTCGTGCCTCCGGCCGAAATGAATTTTCGCACTCCAAGTGTTTTCTGAGAGACTCCGAATCGCGTTCTGCGTTGCTGATCAACCTCAGAAGTCCAGCGGTTTCTTCTTATGCTCAATCCCCCCCCCCGGCCCCCATGGCAGCCTCCAACCCCAGCATGAATGCCCATGGAACAGATTCCCACTGTCTTGGAGCGCCTTGACCGATTCGTCAGGTGCAGGCAAAACAAACTAAAAAATGAGAAGATTTACCCATGCACTCGTTGGTCGGCGGCAAGAAAGCGCCTGTCTGAGGGAGATCAATGCTCCAGGCAAATGGATATCCCTGCTACATATTTGGTGCCATATAAGGTGCTTTCTCCCCCCCACCCCCCCCCCCCCCCCCCCCCCCCCCCCCCCCCCCCCCCCCCCC